GTCGGTACCGCGCGCTACCTCATCAACTAGCTTATGCTCTTTCCCACTGAATGAAGATATGTTCCAATTTCCGACTGTTAGGTTACACGGTTGATATCGTTCCCTTGGAGCCTTTTCTGATATTCTGTAATGATATCGCGCTGTCTGCTTCCTTCTTTCAGAATGGGTAGCGAATCTATTGCTGATCGGTATCTTCGTCGTCGTTTATTAGATCTTCGACAGCCGTTGTGGCGCTTCTACTCCCCCGACTGCCAGAAGGCGGTGAGAAATGGCAGTAACGTAGTTTATTATATAAGCATAGGATTGCAACAGTTCTTTATTGTGTTCATGCTGTTAAGTATATTCAATTAATATTGTTTTGTCACTTTTCCTGATTTACACGGTATGGTCGCACTGTTCCATTGCTTCTGGTTGCTTAGGAAGCTATTTAAGCAGACAACGGCTCAGTGGCATTTTAGCATCTGCAATGTCACATCAATGAGCAGGGCCGAATAATAACATATTGAGACACCTACCGAGGTTAAAGGGTTAAATTCTCTGGATTCGTGACCTGCTTCAGCAGATTTCCGTTGGCTAATAGAAGCAAGGAGAAGGTGTGCCTAGGCCGTTTAAATCCGGAGAATTGACAAGATAATGTTATTCCTAAAGACGGTATCGAAAACTAGCAATTTGCTAGGAAACCCATAACTCTTATATGATTTTGTGTAAATATCTAATTACGTTTGCTAATGAGATTTATTTCTTTTAAACTATCGTGTCGAATAACAGAATATGAACATTTGTAGAACAGATATGCACTAGTTTGCAAAGTAAATGCAAAATATAATTGTCTTTTCCTTTCAGGAATCAGGATGTGGATTTTTTGGCACTCAGGTTTTGGGTTGGAATGTGGACGGCATTGTTTCTGCTGATACTCATAGCCGTCGATGCGTCAGCGCTGGTTGCGTTTATCACTCGATTTACCGAAGAGGCTTTTGCGACGCTGATATCATTGATCTTCCTCGTAAAGGCGTTCCAGGAACTGATCATCATTGGTCATGAAAGCCCGCCTGTAATTGATGTTCAGGTAGATTTTAAGTTCTTAGTTACCGTTGACGGTTTGCGATAAGGTCGCTTCAGTCCGTGTTCACGAGCCCTTGTCGGTGTAACGCGAACGCAAGCGACGTCGAAAATGCCACAACGTCCTTCCATTTGGTCTACCCCAGCTCTTTCTCAAGGAACAACACTCCTCAAGGTTTTCAGGCTTTCGGTTGGAAACCATAAGCTGAAGTGATTTTTTTTTAAAGAATGCTTCGAAGAAGGTGGAACGCTGCAAGGTCTACAGTGCTTTGCAAAACCCGAAGTGTTCATTTTTTCGATCGCACTTTTCGTTGCAACATTCGTCATTGCTAAAGGCCTAAAGGAGTTCCGTCATTCGAAATTTTTCAGCAGTCGAGTGAGTATTCAGACATTGCGTTGACATTGTAACTTGAGCACTTAAAGCATTCCAAAACGCCCTTTATGTCATACCTTACGTTTTTGCTTGCCTGCACGCTTTGCAAAATTCAGAGGTTTCACTCGAAATTGAAGCTTTGTTATAACTATTTCATTATCACATTCATCCAGTCGTCATCTATGACGCCTTTCTAAACAACAAAATGCATCATTAATAACCGATTAGGTATGTTTCGGTTATGTCACCATACTCCATCAGTAGATGCCCATGTGACTTGAAGAATTCGCCTTGGGTCAGTAGAATCTAACTGAAGATTAAGCCATTTCCTGTGCAAAGGTATAATAGCCAATGAGAGAGTGAGGCAGATTTACTCACGTGAGATCGAAGGCACACGGTAAGTTGACAGACCCCAAATATAACGAATAACTACTGAACAAGCTATTTGAAAGTGAATTCCTACCTGGCAGGCCGGAGTTCATTGGGACGACCAAGGCGGTAACAGTAGAAGTCTTCCAAACCGATGTTGTCCTCGTCCTACGTGTGATGTAGCCAAGTTTCTTGTGAACAAATGACGTGACTGTTGCTGAAAAGAGACACACGAACAGCACATTAAACTCGTGGCATTTTTCAAAGATGTTCTTTAAATGTTCGAACTTATCATCACAAAAACAGACTTTTGCTATCCACCTTTTCTGTCATGTTCTACATCTTCCATGACCCCATCTCCTTTTGGGTCGCTTAAGCAGACGCGTCAGACAGTGCTTCCAACGTTCCATCCTGTCAGAGTCTCAGCTTAGGCAGAAGACAGCTGTCTTGAACAAACTCCTTCCATATGTTCGCACCAGGTTAATCTTGGCCGTCCCCTGGGCCTTCTGCCGGTCGGATTTGCAAGGAGCAGTTGCTTAGCCTTCCTTCCTGGAGGCATTCGCAACACATGCCCAAGCCATCGCACTTGTGACTTCTCAATCTGGAGAAGCAAAGGCTGTATTCCAAGGCTCTTCCGGATGTCACTATTCCGGACC